ATGGGGTTGGGGGAAATCAGGATATCATTACCAGTAGGCGGCCGAGGGTATCGTTCACTGCATCCGGATGCTATTGCTCATGCCCTTCATCCTCCCAACCCCTTCCTCCTAACCTGGTTACTGTTCTCCTCAGAAAGTTGTTTCCCCCTCCCCTCCCCTTCCTTCTCTCCCCTTGGCCGTCCGTGTCCGACCAGAGGGCATCTTGGAACCTCCCCGAGGCAGCCAGCCTCCATCGGGTTGGGAGGATATCATTACCATCGGGAAGATTGGAGCAGCCAGATGTCTGGGCTGGCAGGGCTCCGGGCGGCAGCGCAAACCTGCCAGTACAGCCCTGCCGCCCTGCCGGAGCCCGCGGCGCGCCCGTGCGGGCAGCCGCTGGGCGCGCAGGGCACGCGCGCGGCCACCTGCACGGTCGGCAGCGGTGCGGAGCGCCGCCGAGGCAGCCTCGAAGACGGGGTGGCTGGCAGAGGAGGAGGAGGAGGAGGAGGAGGAGGAGGAGGAGGAGGAGGAGGAGGAGACGGAGACGGAGGAGGAGGAGGAGGCGGAGGAGGAGGATCGGGTCGGGCGAAAGGGGGGGATGCCAAAGGGGGGGGGGAGAATCAGCTCACGTAGCTAATTTTCCCAGCGCCGGAGGCGGCTATGTATCGAGGAATGGGCCCCTCGGTGAGGTCGAAATCACCTGCATGCAGCAGATTTCGTAACCCCCCCTTTCCCAATCCCCCCCTTTCGTCCGGCCCGAGAGGAGGCGGAGGAGAAGGAGACGGAAGAGGAGGAGGTCCGCCGCTGGCTGCACCAAGAGCCGCTGACTCAGCAGCGGGTGCTGGCTTGGGACCGCGCCGGCGGCTGGCGGCTGGCGGACCCGCCGGACGCGGACCTCCTCGAGCGCGCGGCCCTCGACGTTGAATACAACGACGGGGCCAGCAAATACTGGATCGATGTCTCGATCCGCCACCCGGCGGCCCAGAAGTCGCGCTGGCGGCGGCGCGCCAACCCAACGAGGCAGCCAGGAGGGGTGAGCGCCAGACGCACGCCATGTACCCGGGGGCCGCCTGAAGACGGCGGCTCCTCTGGCGGGTGCGCACCCTGCCGGGCGACCGCCAGCTCGCCGAGCTCACGAGGGCCTACAGGGTCGTGAGCTGCGCGGTCCAGGACCCAGGTTGCCCTGCAGCGCCGCCGGGCTGCCGAGCTGGCCTGGCTGCGCTAGCCCCGCGGGCGCGCCCTCCAACCACCCGAGCTCTTTCCTTCGTTCGCCTCCCCTGCCGCCGCCGCCGCTTCGCTTTGCTTTCTGTTTCCCCTCTCCTTCCCCTCTTCTCTTCGTCCCCTCTCCCTGCCTCCGGCGGGCGCACGCGCGCCTGACTGGAGGGACCGTTGGCGCAGGGCCCCTGGCCGTGCGTCCGTCTCCTCCGCCTCCCGATGTTCTCTTGGTTCCCCTCTTCCTTCACCTCCAGCTTCGCTCTCTTGAGAGCGTCTGCGGTCAGCTCCGAAGCAAGGCCGCGTGCTCGGGAGGCGCGAGTGGCCCAGCAGGCTTGCTACCGAGGCGTGGTAAGACAGGAACCCAAACCCAAGCTCGGCCCCCCCCCCCCGTGCGACAAGGGTGGGGACCAACTCGGGTGCCCACAGGCAACCCCGGGCAAGGAGAGGGAGGAGGAGCGAGGTGGAGGAGGAGCAGAGTGACGTGGAGGTGGAGAAGTGAAAAGAAAGGAGGGAGGAGGGAGGGAGGGAGGGAAAGAGGGAGGGAGGGAGGGAGGGGAGGGAGGGAGGGAAGGAGGGGAGGAAAGGAGGGGAGGTGGAGGAGGAAGAAGAGGATGAGAATGATGAGGTGGAGAGGTGGAGGTGAAGATGTGAAAGGGGAGGTGGAGGCAGTTGGGGGCAAGGAGGAGGAGGATCAGTAAAAACCCAAGAAGCATCAACGATGTTGCAATAAACTCTCCCTCCAAACAGTCCCCTCAAAAAAGTCTCTACAAGAATTGATTTTCACTGCTGGAGGTGCCCCGTTGGAAAACACCACCCCGTGGAGTTAAAAGCGGCAACTCAGTTTTACGGATGCGTCCTGGTGCCCCTAAATCTTGCAAGAAACCATTCCTGGGATTTCAACACCGCGAATCATTGTGATTGTTGCGCCCTGACAATCTTAATCCGTGGCCGGACACCACCTCTGGGACGTCAACAATAAGAATCCGTTAAAATGCTATAACATGTTACGACGCGTGCGCGCGGGGTTAGCGCGAAATCCACGTTTTGAAAAAGAGCCGCCCTGCATCAGTGGAGCCTTTGAAAACTGTTAAGACGAATTCGCGCGGCGATACGGCAAGGGCCAAATGTTGAAGAACACCCGCCCTCTATCCGTGAAACTCATGCGAACGTTCAAAACGAAAATGCGCGGCGCTGAGGCGAGAGCCACATTTTGAAAACCACCCGTCCCCCTCCGTGAAACGTTTGCAAGCTTTTAAAGCGGATGTGCGCGGCGCACCAACGAGCGACATATAGTCAAAAAAAAAGCCACCCTACACCCGTTAAGTTGTTGCAAACGTTTAAACTAAATGTGCGCAGTGCTACGGCAGGAACCACATCTTGAAAACGACCCACGCTCCGTCCGCGAAGCTCTTGCGAACTATTACAGCGAATGTACGCAGCGATACGGCAAAAACCGCATGTTGAAAACGGCCCACCAGTGATACTTTTTGCAAAGTTTGACATCGGATGCGCGCGGAACTCAAGCGGAAACCACAAATTGAAAACCACCCGCCCTACATCCGTGAAACGTTCGCAAACTGTTCAGGCGAATATGCGCGGCACAACGCCAGGAACCACATTTTGAAAACGATCCGCCCTCCATCCTTGAAACTCTGCCAAACGTTTGATACGAACGAGCGCAAGGATAAAGCGGGAAACACGTCTTGAAAAACACGCGCGTTCCATTCCGTCGTGAGGCTGTTGTAAGCGTTGAAAACGAATGTGCGCGGCGCTAGGGCGAGAGCCGCATGTTGAAAACCTGCCGTCCTCCATCCGAAAAACTCTTGCAGCCAAATACAACAACTACGCGCGGTGCTGAGGCCAGAGCCACACAGGAACCGCCGTCCATCCGTGAAGCGCCTGCAAACTTTCAAGACGAATGCTCCTGCCGCAAAGGCGAGGGCCACAATTGGAAAACGACCCGCCCTCAATCCGTGAAGTTCATGCGAACGTTCAAGACGCATGTGCGCGGCGCTGGGGCCAAGAAAGCACATGTTGAAAACCACCCACCCTCTATCCCTTAAACTCATGCAAACTTTTAAGACGAATGCGCGCGTCACAAAGGCAAGAGCCACATTTTGAAAACGGCCCGCCCTCCATCCGTGAAGTTTTTGCAAGCATTGAAGACGAATGCGCGCGGTGAGACGACGAGAGCCAAGTGTTGAAGACCATCTGCCCACCATCCGCGAATCTCCGGGAGGGCTTAAGCTTCAGGACCATGAATGCTGATAAAGTCTCGAGCGAAACGCATGGCCCGCCCTATCTGCACGTCTCGGGGTGCGACAAAGAGGGATTATTCAATAAGGCAAAGGGAGGGAGAAGGTGGATGAGTGGATCCAGTCGGCCCGTATCATCAGGATGCGCGATAAGGATGCAAGGGCATTGGACGCCCACTTCGAAGCTTTACGAGCGGGGCACGGCCAACGAAAGTGGCCTGGGATGGACCGCGGAGGCAAGCATGAAATGGCACCCTTGGGAAAGTTGCCCATCCTCACTGTGCGGGTTGACTGCACGTGGAGCAGCAGGCGGAGCCGGAGGGGAAGCTGGAGAGGCAGAGAGGCGGAGCCCGCAAGCGACTGGAGGGCTCCTCCTGCCCTGCTCTCGCCCACCGGCCCGCCTCCCGCCTCCCCACGCGCCGCCCCCCCCACCCCACCCCGGCAGCACGGGGGGCGGCAGCGTGCAGACAGCGTGCCCGCGCGGGCACAGAGAAAGCACGCGCCCTGCTGAAAGATGCCTCCCCGCCCCGCCCCCCCCCCCCCTCCCCTGAGCCCTCTTCCGCACCCCGCCCGCCCTGCCCTGAGATCCGACGCTGCACAAGACTTGCAACAGCGCAAAATATCGCGACCGGACCCCCGGACCACATCTGTCTGCGTCATTTTCTTGAGCTGGATCGATGTGTGAGGGTCTCGGGGCCTGAAATGGAGCGAAACGCCCGGCTCGAAACAATTGGATCGCCAGGATCTCAGGGCCTCCTCTGAGCCCTCTTCCGCACCCCGCCCGACGCCCCTCCCCCTCTCTGGCCCCTGCTTTCCAGCCCGCTCCGCCCCCTCCCCGCCACACCCCCTCCTCCCCTCCGGCCCTCTTCCGGCCGTCCGCCCCCCTCCTCTCCGCTCGCCATCGCTCGGACGTCCATTCCCCTTGCATATTTTGATTTCGTGCCGCTGGACGATCAAAGATGCTCCTCGATGGTCCTCGCCGAGAAAAAATGCACACGTCCGAGCGATGCCAAGTCCGTTCACCCCCCTCCCCCGATCCATCTCAGGGCCCCCCAGAAACTACTCAAGACCCTTGGAGTCATCCTCCTCCCCAGAAGGAGCAGTCAGCGTCGGGCCCCATGTGACAAACCAAGCGCAAGCTGCGCGCACGCTCAGGTGTTTCGTCCTTGCCACGCAGACCACATTGACAGCGAACCGCAGACTGCTTCCTCCCGCCTCCATCCCCCATTGCCATCGATGATCCATCGATGATCTTCATGACTTCCGCCCTCTTCATTATTCCCCTCTCCCTTCTCCTCCGCTTCCCTGCCCCATTGACACCTCTCCCTCATCCTCTTTGGCCAAGACTCTCCATTCCCAGTCACCTCTCTCCCCCTCTTCACTCTGCCACCCTGGCTTCCTTGCTCAACTTTGGTTCCAACCCGCCTCCACATCCTCCTATCTCCCTGTCATCTTTCGCCCCCAGCAGTCGCCACAAACAGACTGCGATCACCAGCCCTCCGATGTCTCGCTTCCCTCCGATATCTCGCTTCCGACAAATCCATGTTTTAAGGGTAGACTACTCGCAAAAGGCCAAACGTCACGACCCCTACAATACGCCGGCTCTTGGGAGGCTTTTGGCAGTCTCTTGCAGCACATTGGGACCATATTGGAGCCATCCTGCACTCAGACCCGAGCGATGGGGAGGAGGGGAGGGCGAGGGAGCACCGTTCAACCGATCCCCATCCGCCCTGGCATGGCCTCGGCCCCACTGGCTGGCCCGAGCCAATGCGGGGATATATAAGGGGGCCCAGGGACACACAAATAAATACACACAAATAAAAATATTCCCCATATTTTCCCATATTTTCTGGGTTTCTGTCTTCCCCCCCCCACTTCCCATATTTTCCCATATTCTCCGCGGAATGAAGGATTAATTGTGTCTGTGTGTTTTTTCCTCTCCTGAATATAGCCCTGTTCCCTTCGGGTCTTGCGGGGCAGATCCCACATGGGGCGGAAGGCGGGGCCGGTGGGGCGGAGATCTCATGGCCAGCGGGTCGGAGGAGACGATGCGTCTGAGCCCGTCGCCATCACTGAGCTTGGCGGACAGCTCGAATCTCAGGGCTCCGACGTCGTCTCGTCCTGGTCGTGGCTTCGGTGTCGTCGCGTCGTCGTCTCGCCCCCATCGCGCCCTCGTCGCCTCGTCGCCGCCGCTCGCCCTCGTCCGTCGGGCCGCGCGCGCGCGCGCGCCCGGCGCGCTGGCTGCGCGGCGGGAGCGAGAAGGAGGGGCCCTCCGCCCGTCCGGGAGCAGCGTCTGACGATGCATCGTCTGGCGATGCGTCGCTCGCTTTATGCCACGCGGCGCAGGTACGCGTGGCCGGTGTATCCGTACACCTCTACAGACTTGTCCCACAGCCACGTGCCCAGAAGCGCCCGCTCCTCTGGGCTGCACGCAAAGAAGTGACCCTGGGCAAGAGTAGTGATGTTTTGATGCGCGGGCCAATACAGGGGCCCAGGGACGCACAAGTAAATAGACACAAATCCCAGGGTTCCCCATAGTTTCCCTATGTTCTGGGTTTTCGTCTTCCCACCCACTTCCCATATCATATTATCTTGTATTTTCCGAGGCATCGACGATCAGTTGTATCTGTGTGTTTCTTCCCCTTCTGAGACTAAGGGGGCGCAAGGTGGCCCAATCCAAGCGCGCAAGCAGCCGCTATCGCACCGCGCTCAGCGACCGGGGGGACCCCGATGACTGAGATGTCTGGAACTGCTGTGTACCACAACATACCACGTCAATTACAATCCTGTGAAAAAGCTGTTTTGAAACCTGACAAAAAGCTGATAAAACACTTGTTTCTAGGGTATATGTCCAAAGCAGAGAAGCACACGTAAAAACAAGCTGGAAAACAAGGCGAATGCAATTACAAAAGCTGAAACGACAATGCGAATGCAATTACAAAAGCTGAAGCACAAGGCAAATGGAATTGTTCATAAAGCTGTCCGAAAACGTTGGGTCACCCTTACGTGTAGTCGATCCTCTGGCCGGGCCTGCAGCAGCCGGTCCACGGCCGCCTTCGGGCCCTGCCAGGGCTGCTTCACGAAGTCCAGGATGATGTCCTGCACGACGAGGTAAGAGCCCACGGGCACCAGCGGCGCGTACAGCTGGATCTCACTCCACACGTGGGCGTAGTTGTGAGCGCTGTCGAGCGTGATGACAACGCTGGCGCCAGATGGCAGCCTGCGCAGCTCGCGACGAACCCACATCAGCGCCTTCTCAGAGGTGGAGCCGGCGATCACCTCGCGCACGTGCTGCCTCCAGATCCTGTCCTGGTTGAGGGAGCCGACCGGGCGCCGCTGACTGGACCTCTCGCGCCGCCCGCCGACTCTCCTCCCACTGGACGTGCAGCTCCGCTGCTCGTGGTACTCCTTCTCGACCTGGTCCACGCTCAGCACACGGCCATCCTCTTGGCCCAGCAGGTGGAAGAGCGTCGCCACAAAGTAGGCCAGTCCGCCGCGGAAGCTGCCCAACTCCACGAACAGCTGCGGGCGCAGGGCGTACACCAGCTGCTGTATGATCATGATGTCCTGCGTCGGCTGGCGGATGGTGACGCCCAGCCTCAGGGCCCCTTCAACGGGGGCATAGCTAAACGGAGGCTTAAGCTTTTCCGTATGCTCCCACTTACGATGCCCCATCTACGGAGCCCAGCGCCCCCTCAATAGGGGCACACCCAAACATGGAAATCGGCGTTCCCGGTGCGCCCGTTTGCTGTGACCCCATTTCCGGCGCCCTGACAGCCAGGTGGTGTCGCAGTCCCGATACGTGACGGTGTTGAAGATGCCCTGCTTGAAGGCGGCCTCCTGGAAGGCCGCCTCGTGAGGCAAGTCGACCGTGCCGTTGGGCGGCCGCAGGTACTCGGAGGCCGCGAGCAGGCCGTGCCCGAAGTGCGCACAGGCGCTCGACCGCGCGTCGAGGAAAGCCACCTCGTCCGAGCTCGACACACAGCACGTCGGCCCGCTGTCAAAGGCAGGCTGATAGCAGGAGGCGCCCGCGCCGCGCGCCGCGCCCGCGCGGGCCTCTGCCACCAGCAACGCCCCCCACCCCAACCCACCCCACCGCATGGTGCCCGCGCGAGCCGCTCTCTGGGCGGCACGAGCTCAGGTTCGGACTCGCGGCGCAGCCGTCCATCAAGGCCAGGCCTCCCCGCGCCCTGAGCAAGCGGCCTGGGCTTGGGCCGGGAGGCGGGGAGTGGCGCGGGCGGGAAGGAGGGCAGGGGGGGGCAGGCGGAGGACGAGCCAGAGAGCGACCACGGAGGCAACGAGGGGGGGGGGGGAAGCGGGGCGCGAACGGGCAGGAGGCGCAGCGCCGGGGGACGGAGGGCCGGTCGAGGCCGGGTGCTGGGTTCGAGGGCACGTGGGACCCAGCGTGGGCCCCAGGCGCGCGCACCCCCCGCCCGAACTCGCTCGCTGGCTGATGCCCTGCGGGCGCGGGGAGCGCGCCTCGGTCTTGCCCGCCGTGAGGTAGGAGTTCACAACGAGGTACTCGGCGAAGCTCGAGAACTCCTGCGCACGGAGGGACCTGCACACCTCCTCCTCCTCCTCCTCCTCCTCCTCCTCCTCCTCCTCCTCCTCCTCCTCCTCCTCCTCCTCCTCGTCCTCCTCATCCCCCTCCTCCTCCTCCTCTCCTCCTCTCCGCCTCCTCCTCCTCCTCCTCCTCCTCCTCCTCCTCCTCCTCCTCCTCCTCCTCCTCCTCCATTCCTCTTCCTTATGAATAACTTCTCCCTGTCGCACCCCGAAGCCAGTTTTTAGGGCGGGCTGGGCGTTTCGCCCGAGGCTTCCTTACAACTTATGACTCTGAAGCGTAAAAATTGGCGACAACTTCACAGGTGGAGGGCGGGTGGTTTTCAAAATGTGGCTCTCGCCACAGCGCCGCGCACATTCGCTGTAAAAATTTGCCAGAGCTTCACGGATTGAGGATAATCCGTTTTCAAAATGTAGCTATCGCCTCAGTGCCGCGCACATTCGTTCTCACAAATTACAAGAGCTTCACGGATTGAGGATAACCCGTTTTCAAAATAGGGCTCTCGCCGTAGCGCCGCGCACCTTTGTTGTAACAACTTGTGAGAGCTTCGCGGGTTGAAAACGGTTCCTTTTCAAAATGTGGCTCTCGCCTTAGCACCGCGCGCATTCGTTCATAACATTTGCAATTGCAGAAGTTTTACAAATTCCCACGATCAACGTACCAGAAATTGGGTTTTGGAAGGATTCATGATTTTGCGGGTACGACAGCTACGCTGATTCGCGGCATTGAAATCCCAAGAATGGCGTTCTGGCGCGATCCAGGATCGTCAAGACGCAGCAGTCAGGTTGATCCGTGGCGTTGGAATTCCGAAAACCATGTTTTGGCATGCTTCCAGGTCTTCAAACGGTTGTCTTCCAACGAGGCAGATCCCTCAATGGAAATGAACCGTTCTAGGGCCCTACGAAGAGAGAGGGCCCTTCGAGGGTGTATTCCAACATCGTTGATGGCTCTTGGGTTTACACTGGTCCTCATCCTCCCCCTACCTCCCTCCCTCCCTCCCTCCTCCATCCTCCTCCCCCCTCCTCCTCCCTCCTCCCTCCTCCCTCCTCCCTCCTCCCAGCTCCCTCCGCCCTCCTCCCTCCTCCTCCCTCCCTCCCTCCCTCCTCCCGCCGACTGGCCCTCGGAGCCCTGCCGCTGCGCCCACCGAGACGGGCAGCGACGAAGTGTATGCATGCGGCAACTGGCCCTCCGCTGCGGGAGGGTACGGACACTGCTCCTTGCACGGTCCATCCTGCAATCAGGATAGCCTGCGCAAGAGATCAGACTCTCGAACCTGATGCTTCGTAAGAAGCCTCGAGACTCTATCCTCGAAGTGCGGAAAGACCCCGCAACGGTCTCGCAGACCTGAAATCTGAAGTCTCGCTGGATTCCACAGGACTGCGTGCAGAACTGCCCCGCTGTACCCCCCATGTCGGGGATGATCTGCCGGCCCACTGCGGGCCCAAAATTCCGACGCCGTGATACTTCCACAGCGTGGACCCCTGGAGACCCAGACCCCTTTCCGCGGGACCGGCTGCTCCTAGCGGGGCGCTTCTGGACGGTCGGGGGGCCCTACGAGGGCCCGTCGAGGCCGGAGACTGTAACGAACCTCCCGTCGGGATCTTCTCGCTGCGCGAAGAGGTTGGGAGAGCCCGCAGGCTGAGAAGGCCCAGCCTGCTTGTCGAGCGGTGCGGGCGAACTCGAGTGATTCCTGCAGCCTGGCCATCTCGTGGGCACGGCACACAGCAGGCACATACGACCAGACAGCCCACTGCAAGAAAACTAAGAGCGCACCCTGCGTCGACGCTATGCTTCGTAGCGTGCCCCGGGGCTCTGAGGACAATCGGGAGACAGGTAGTGGCCCGTTGGCAGCCCAGTTTCTCTGTGATGTGCCCAGTGTGCGTGAGCTTCCTGCGCTCATGCCACCAAGGAGGGCTGACACACTGCGGCGGGGAGGAGGTGGGGCTGCAGCTTTGGCCGAGCGCGCGACGCGCGAGAGACCAGGGCAAGAATTCTGACGTCCACTGACGAGGATCCCTCATACCTCTTGGGATGGGCTGGCTGCCTCACACCCGCACGCCCCTTCCTCCTCTCCAACCATTCCTCCGCCTCCTCATCCTCCTCTTCCTCCTCATCCTCGCCATAGTCTGTCTTCCCAGTACCATGCACTTCCATTTCCTCCTCGTCCGCATCCTCCTGATGCTGCACCCCCTGTTATCACCCCTCCTCGTCAACATATGAACCGTTATCCTCCCCTCTCTCCTCATCCTCATCATCATCCTCTCGCTCTCTCTCTCTCTCTCTCTCTTTCTCTCTTTCTCTCTTCCCATGTATACTTATACAGGGGAAATATGATTACATGTTTGTTGGTGTACGTATATGTATGTAAATGCATGTATATATATACATATATATACCCATGTTTCTATCTATTTATATATATATAATGAAAATCCTGCTTCATCTCGTATTATTGAATGTGCCCCTACATCGTCACATACAAATAGACGTACACGCGCATCGTAAAAAAATCCTCTCTCCTCGCCCATTGTACTCTTCCCTCTAGCCTCGTCCATCCATCGCTCAGAGTTCCTCGTCTCATTTGTTTTCTCCTTCCTCCTCCTCTTGCTATTTCGCATCCCGCCTCCCTCCCTCGTCGATCCTCTCCTCCTCATCCTCCTCCTCCTCATCATCCTCCTCCTGCGCATCGCAAAGCATGGGTGGGCATTGCTCCCACCACCTCATCCACCGCCGCTTGCTGTTAGCTTCATTGTTGTATCCCTCGCCCTCCTCCTCTTTCTCATCCTCCTTCTGCCATGCTCGAGTATGATTGCTTGGCATACGCTAACAAGGCACAAGCTGGGGTATGATATGCCATCCAAGGCTATGCATTGGCAAGAAATCCCAATCAACGCCAAGCAACGTCGAACAAGGCCAAGCAATGCGAAGCAATGCCCCGCATTGCCAAACAATGCTGCACAACGCAAAGCAATGCGAAGCAACGTAAATCAACGCCAAGCAATGCACCGCATGATATACTTCCTGACTTGCTTGCGTCCTTCCTTGCTTCGCTAGCTGAAGAAGCTGCCCCAGGCTGGCCCCTCACGAAATCGTCTCCGGGGAAAAGCACGCGCATGAGAACGTCAGCGCAGCGCATCGCCGCGCATGCGCGTCGTGAGTGAGCGGGCCCAAGCATGCACACTAAGACACGCTAGCCCCATTCGGCGCACGGGGCCCAGCACAATGTCATGGGTCACACCATCGACATGGTGAGGCGCAGCCGCCACAGGCTTACACGTCGGTTGGAAGAAGTGGGTAGAACCATGAAGCAGGAAGGCGTTGAAAGTAGATTGGGCTTCCGCCCGCCCCCTGAGGACGAGCGCGGAGGGAATGCCACTCGGCTCTCGAAGTAGGAAGGCGCCTAGAGTAGATTGGGACTTGGGCAACCAAAACTCACATACGTTCAACGACCGACGGGTACATGTTCAGGGCCCTGAGCATGATTATAATTGCCGAGCGCGGTAGAAATTGGAAAACGCCATTGGGTCATTTTACCTCACGCGCGGGGGGGCCACTTCAGCATCTTCAAATAAACACCAAGATTTTCAGCTCAGCTTGGACCTGGAAACCAGCTTCTGGCGCGTTCCTTGCATTGTCTGTTGATGACGAATGCCCGTTCAGGTTGGCCTGCAAATGTTCACGTACAGATGGCGCTCTCATCGGACACCGCCACCGACGCCGCCGCGGAGGGGAGCAAGCCGAATTCGAGAAAACTTCCGTAAACGCGATGGGCAATTTGGTACCCCCATCTCCGCGGGTTTACTTGGCTCAGGCTCCTCTTTGCTCTGCGGGGCCATGGCTGCCTTGGTGGAGCGAGTGGAAGCCGTGCGGATGCGGCGAGTGGGGATGGTGGTGTTGGCCAAGAAGTCCAGAGACGCGTGCAAGTGAACGTTGCGGAGTTCGGTGAAGACGACAAACGTCGCAATGAAGATGAAAGAGAACAAGACGGGAACCGCGTCGAGCCGCTGAGCTGACCGCCTCCAATCCACACTTAGGACCAGCGGGGCGGAAAAGTCGCATCGACCGTTGACGAAAGCTTCGCGGACAAAACACGGGCACAAAAACATCAGCACAAGGGTCCGGGCATGTACACTCAGAGACACTGAGCCCCGTGAGTCGCACGGGGCCCCATACAATGTCATGGGTCACGCCGTCGACACGGTGGGGCGCAACAACCTCGGGGTGACAACTTCCAGCCCGTGGCCATTACCGTCAGACATCGGAGAGAAGAGCAGCCTGCAAGACCATGAGGCTCTCCCCCGGCCGAAACACACAGAACACCCAAGGGTACCCTCCGCAGGATCAAACACGAAGAACATTAGGGCACCCTCCCCGGACCGACCTCGATCTCATAACTCGGTCAGACTGTAATGTAATCGCCAAACGGGTAGACTTCGGAAAACGTCACCGGATAATCCTATTTCATGCACGGGGGACTTCAGCGTGTTCAGGTCAACCTGAAGATTTCCTGATCGGACCGTAAAGCCAGATTCTGTATCGCGTTTTCCATTGTTGGTCGGTTGTGCTTGGGGGAAAACACAACGCAATCACAGATCTCTGCACAACTTGGCATCAACCACTTTGCGAATCAAACAGGCGCTCGGCAAACTTGGA